TTATTGCTACCTGCCGCCGCATCACCTTCCATCGCCAAAACAAGGCTCTACGCACGACGCTTGATAACAGACAATTCATACACGGCGCTCTACACACGAGACTCCATACACGATCCTTTATATACGGTTTACGGCCGGTCATCACCTTCTTACTTCGATAACTACGAGATGACAACCACCCAGCACCAAGGCTTCTTCGCTCTTCCAGCTGAACTGCGCCTGGAAGTATACGGGCGCCTCTTGGCTTCAAGCATTGCCGAAGGCTACCCATGCTGCGCCAGAGGCCTGTACAGCTCTTGCATCAAGATCCATGATGAGATGGACGAGTGTGTCGAAAAGGTTTTGCCGATCATCAAATTGCAAAATCACTGGCTACGAAACTCTCCATCGGTCCGTCCGTTACACGTGTATCTTCCCTCTACCTACGAATCTACCGGGCCGCTACAAGACCTTACGCTACTGATACCGGTAAGCATGGAAATCAACTCTGGGAAACACCCAATAGATCTCGGTGATCTGGCAAGTATACTTTCCTACGTATCACGCCTCCAGTTGTCGACTGTTACTCTCAGTTTCTACCAACCAGGTCCACATCGAGATGTACCATGGCACACCAGTATTATTATAGCCAGCCACCTGTTATATCGGATACCCATAATTCTTAAAACAGAACACTCCTACCTCAGAGGTATCGATCGTCTGATGATAGAATTGGGCACCCTTGGAGCTACTCCCCTTTCGATAGGCAATTTCGGAAAACATGACATGTATCAGATTTTCAAGCTTTGCTATTGCTTCTCCAGAAAGGTGATATGGTGGCTTGGCATTGGTGGAACTGCTCCAAATCTTAGGTGGACGCTTTGCTTGGATCTCAAACAAGGGTTGAAGCCACCAGTGAATGCACTTGGGCGACGCTGGACGTTGGGCCCACACGCTTTAGATGAGTGGGACAAGGACAATCCTGATGCTTGATGATGCAGCATTGTTATCACTCTTCCATCAATTCCGCAAGTTACCATTTCACCGTTGCGTGCTGAGCTTGCTTTTCACTGGCTCCACAGGGTGTTTGCTCGCTGAATATCAAAACGCCGCAAACTCTTTTCTGCTTTCATCTTCAGCAAATCGCCAAATCCTCCGATAGCAACCATTCAACTCATCACAGACCAACAGTCAGCGCCATGGCCAAAGACAAGCCTTCCGCGTTACTCGCGCTACCAGCAGAACTACGACTTCAGATCTACAGCAATCTTCTCACCGAAACCCTGGAAAATGGACGCACCTCCGATGTCGGTGCTCTATACCTCGCTTCCCGCACCACCTATTCAGAGATGAAGCCACTCGTCTCAACAGTCCAAGTAGCCCTCGACCTGAAGCGCGCCTGGGACCACTCTAGACGGCTCAGAGGCGAAGTCAGAGGACGACTGTGCTTCCAAATACCACATACACACACCTACATCAATCCGCTCACTGAGTTCGCCATCACCGCACCGCGCGATCGCAAACGCAGAAATCGTGTCAAACAGGCTAAGCACAACATGCTGCGTCGCACGGAAGACTTCGCGGTTTTCGGCCTCCGTCTCCTACTCTGCCCTTTCGGTTTCGGAGTGGAACGTCGATATACCAACAAACAAGTTCTTTCGTCTACTCATATCTTCTTTCGTACCTTCTACCAGATATGGGGGAAAGAGTTTCTGGAGAAGGCAAGGCAGAAGAGATATATTGATCGGTTAACCTTTCAGAAAGATTCCCATCTGGAGGATAGATATATTGTGAAGATTGTGCACGGGAAGCAGTATGGGGGCATGTATCTTCCTGCCTCCGGTGCTTTTTATGGTCCCTGGTGCTTTCTTGTTGAGGGACAGACGAAGAGACTGTGGGGAGTGGATTTTAGGGGCGGATTGAAGCTGCCGGGGTGGAGGCATGAGCGTATAGATTGGTTTATCAGGGGTAGTGCTATTTGAGGGGTTTATGTCGACTGAGTTCGCGGGGTTAGATGAGGATTGCGTACCGGCCTTTCGGAGTGTATGTTGCTATATTGTTACATCGTCATAGTGGCGTACTGATGCAAAGTAGGGTCGCAAAGCTCATGCATTCAACCCTGTATAATCTGTTCCGTTCTAATCTACGTAAAATTGCACAAATCATCATCCAACCCGTTTGTTCTCACTTCCTACACAATGAATCACCTCACAACGTCATTGACTCAGCAGGAGATGAATCCGTGCTCTTAAGCGAAGTTGATTCCTTGCATTCGATGCTCCGATATATAAGAGCAGGAAGCATTAACTGTAACGATCACTTCCCCTCACCTTGGTATCTAAACAACCCACGCATTATACAGAATATGATTCTCACCCTCCCAACAGAGCTTCGAATCGAGGTCTATAGGCACCTTATTGTCGAAAGCATCACTTCTGGACGTCCACAGAATATCTCCGGCCTTTTCTTTAGTTGCCGTACTACGTACAACGAAATGGAGGAAGATATAGCTAAAGTTAAACCTCTAATCCTTGCTACTCGAAAGTGGCAAGATGAGCATCCATACGGCCGTTGTTTGAAGATCGAGTCATCACCAGCCTCGATTTTGGCAGGAGGAGCTGGCGAAGGCAACATTAGCATGCCGATTTCAGGATCATGGCTCCAGGGTAGCCTTAACCGGGCTTCACTGAAACGATGCGTAGCAGCTCTCCAGCCGGTATTGCACCTACCATGGTCGACAATCAACCTCTCTACCCATGTGGATTGTCCGCTGGACCACCTTCAAAGTACCCGCGTAATGTGCCTGGAGCTTTTCTTTAGGGACAATTACGACCCGGCGGAACTCACCTGGATTCAACGATGTGATCGCCTCACCCTCAGTTTTCGAGGTACCACTGAAAAGCTTGAATGGTGTACTTGGGACATTGCATTCGCAATCCATGGCCAGAGGGCTCTCAAAGCGATTTGGATACAAAAACCTGATGACAGGCGTAACGGCGACTTATGGACAATTGGATATGACTTTGTAGAAGGCTTGGAAACAATTAAGGGGCTGCAGTGGAAACAAGAAGTTCGGCAAGGTTTGCTGCGGCGCGAAGGTATATTTTAGGGCTCTCAGGGTTGATCATGTTCACCACGACCTGAAGATCTGAAAGCTTGAGGTCTTGCCTGTGCGGAAGTGGCATCTGCTCACGTCTCGATGTACGTAGTACGAACAAAGACTGAAGTTAACATCATGGAGGATATAAGGTTTAAAGCTACCCCTTGATCGATCGCTGAATTTATGTGCGTCTTCACAGGCGCATCCTTGTGAGATGAGGGCCGAATATAGCGCCGCGCACGCGCCATGCTGACGGTGACTCGTCATCTCCCGCAGTCTTGTATCTTCCTCATCTCATCCATCTTAGCATGCATCTTTCACATGGTCGGAGTTGGCGGGCGGTCCAGAGCGTGCGATAACTGCAAAAGTCGACGCGTCAAATGTGGTAGGTTTGCCCTGTTTATCCCTGCGCTATTCCGACGCGTGTGTTGACGTCACGAGATCTACGAAAGCCACAATGCGGAAGGTGCGTCACAGCACGACTACAATGTGGTGGCACCCGCGGCATCACATTCGTCCAATTCGATGGCCACGGCCAGTCTGCCCAACCTAGCGATCGCGATGTCGCCGGGTGCTTAGCTGTGGAAGTCGGCACCAGGACGCCTGACACTGCTATTCGACTTCACCAGGAAATTCATCGAGCATTGTCGCCTTCTCGCGATGATGTCTTCACCGCGTTCACTCTCTCAAACTTACTGCCGGTGCAAAGCCTGTTGGTGTTCAATCCTGGGGTTATTACCATCAAGTCACTTTCTGCGCTTGCGACTTCTTACTTCGGCATCAAGCACCAGGATAGAGCTATCACGCAGTACGGATTCAAGAGGTACAGTGACGCACTTAGAGCCGTGCATTCGGCTCTTGAGGCTTCGGTGTCTCCGCCTTCCTTTGATCTGATTGAGGCGGTCATGCTTATGGGACTCATCGAGGTACATCAAACGTTCTGCAGTGCACACATTTTCTAACCGCTACTAGTTCCTCATCTCGGATCGTGTCGATGGTTGGATAAACCATGCACGTGGGCTAGAAAGGCTCTTCGAGTTGCGCGGACCTGAAGCTATGGCATCACCTCAGTGTCTTGGGATCTTGGATAGGATTCGCCCGTCTCTTATCTTTGCAGCTATTGTCTTGCACAAGCCAACGATAATGTCGGAGAATAAATGGAAATATATCCCCTGGAGCTTACACCCTGAGCACATCGACTCGCTCAAGCTCTTGTTCGACATTATTGCCGACTACCCTCAGCTCTTCATTCTGCGTGATGAGCTTTTGTCAGTTGCGGATGAAGACACAAGGACTGCTGAGACGCAATGTCTCTCTTTGCAATGTCATGAGGTCATCGCCAAACTGAAGAACTGGAGGGAGACTTTTGCGTCTGATCCGTTTCACACCTCTTACGAGACACCCGCATGTCAACCGATACCGCTCATAAAAGACGAGTATGGCGCGTTGCATCCAGCCTGGTCTACTGCCTTCAGATACCGATCACTCTATCACGCGAACGCTATCACAGTCTATAACGCCGCTACCATCATGGCCCTCCGGTTCGCCGACAGCATCGATGCTGAGATGATGTCATCTTCAGCGTACCATACCCGACAGGAGCAGATATCGACAGCGGCGCTCACTATATGTCGTAGCGTCGAGTACCATCAGCTAGAGGACTGGGGCGAACAGGGCTCTTTTGAACTACTCTTTCCTCTGCGCATGGCATACGATGGGATCCGCGAGAAGGAGCCAACAATAGCATCATGGATCACATCTGTCATGCAAGACATGTCGGCTGGTGGACGAGGGCCCTGGAGATCAGCTAAAAGCATCCTAGATGTTCGCAAGTGAGGTCGTAGTCAATTAAAAAGGTAGAACAACCGTTTTGTCGCATAAACATGGGCATTCGTGACAAGTCAACGAAGTCTCTTTATCACTACATCCCCTCATTCAGCGACTCAATGATGATATACTCCATCTTCTCGACCATCTCCTGTTCTTTCTCCAACTTCTTACCCTCCTTAACATGAGCTTTGGCCCCTTTCCGGTCCCGCTTCCTAGATCTCCGCTCTTCCTTTCGCGCCTTCTTCTCTTCTTTCTTTGCTCGTTTGCGCTCCGCTTTATCCGCTCTTCTCTTTTGTTTGCCGTTGACCTCATCATGAGATACCAGGGCGGACTCTTTGTTGGAGCTGATGCTGGACTCTGAACTAGAGCTTGAGTCTGAGCTGTAGCCCTTTTCTTCTTTCTTCTTGAGCCGCCGTTCGATCTGCTTCGCAGCCATTCTATCGAGAGCACTTCGCTGCTCTATCGGCGGCGGAACGTTGAATGAAAGCGGTGCGATATACGGCATGAGTGATTGCAAACGGCGGTATCCAGCTGTTCGAGGCCGGGAGCTGCTTCCTAGCACTCTTTGCCAAGTCAGAAACAGGGAAACCCTATGGCGGGGCTAAACTTACGCCGACGATGGCATGTGCACATTGCAGCCAATCTTCTCTTCCAACTGTCTGTTCTTGCAAATCGAAGCTTTCAGACCACGAGGCGCGAAGTATTCTCGGTTCACAGCCTCCAAGAAGCGCCGCGTTCGCATAGTGGTCGTAGCAGCCGTTCCAACTCCGGCGGCCACGTTCATGCTGGCGCCGGCAATCATGGTCCAATGATGTGGTCTAGCACTTGTATGAGAAACCGGTAAGAGCCAAAAAGAGAGGTTAACTCACACGATGCCAACCACATGACCCGCTACATCGAGTGCCTGAAGCGGGACCGGAGGAGCTTGAGCGACACTGAGATCATCAATGAATGCTACGAAGTCTTTCTCGTGGATGCTGAAGCGGCGTAGATCTGGGCTATACGCTCGTATGAATGGGAACGGTGTTCCAAGTAGACCATTTGCATCGAGTCTTGGTATCACGACGGGTTTCTAGACAGGTCAGCAAGGTTTACTGGCAATGTTTGAAGAGTGGCTCACTTGAAGAGATTGTCGTGGCTGGATTGGACTTGTTATGTAAGGTGTCCAATCTATGGCGTGATGTAACAACTCATTATCCCGTGGAGACAAGCTAGTCGGTGGTAACGGTGCAGCGTTGTATGAACTAAGTGCTCGATGTGGCCGCTCGGAAGAGTGGCTCTCGTATGAAGGAGGTTCTAATGGCATCATGATAGTATGGTATCGAGATTGTATTGCTTTGTGATGAGTGATCTGACACTGGATATAAGTATCTTGAGCCTTACGCTCAACATAATAACGGAGCTGCTTTGATAAACCGTGCACGTTGTTCCAAGCCCCCAGCCATGTCTAAAAAGGCGTATTCCTCGGAACTCAGCCTTGCCAGTTACTAGAGACCAAACAATATCAAGCACAGTCAAGCTGACGGCCTCGTAGATCGCTGTCCCAATGTAGTTGATTTCTCGAGCTTACTAACCGCATATTGTTTAGCGCGGCTAGCGTCGTTTCCTCGGATTACCCTTTCGGGTTCATTTCTCGAGATTGGGCCGATCAACAGTAGAAAGCGTGAGACAAATAGTAAATAGCATCCTATCGCAAGAGAAAGCAGACGTTTGGTAAGTAACTGCTAGTCGTGCATTAAATGATCGACAGCGGCCTGCACGTTGGCCTTGCTAAGCCACGACCCGTTGCATGAGGTAATTGGGTAAAAGCGGTTCACCTTTGGCTGTGGTCTTGTGCCGTTACTGCAGAACCCCATAAGACCATTCCGTACCTCAATAGCTTCCCCGTGTTTGAGGCCTGGTGTTACCATCGGGCTGGATCGGTAAAATCCTCGGGCACCTTCAGTCCTCTTTGCTTGCTTCTGCACCACGCCTCTTTCTTGCCCTGTGGCCTCCACCTGATCATCTCATCTTCAGGATACTCTCCAAGGCACGCAGCTACATCCCAGCGATGTATCTCATTGCCGTCGTGATAGATTAGAACACGATCTACGTACTCAAGCAGAGTGATGCCCCGGATATACTCCCAATTCCCTTCCAGCTGTTGTTGTATAGTCCAATTCAGACACACCAAGAAGTACCGGGAAGTAACCGACATTGCAGCGTCGGCCTGAGCGGACATATGAATCAGACCGAGCTGCGCAAGATCGGGAGATGGTGTCTCGACGTTGATGCTGATCGTTCTGATGGATATTTGCCGGTGTTCACTGTCGCTCTTCCTTTCGCCCAGAGGCCCAACATGGGTGAATCGGTTGATCATGCCATAGAAGCCCCATACCACTAGAACAGTGAGGTGAGTGGTTAGTATGTAGTACTAATACTAATAGAGGAAAGGCTTTCCTTACACTGCTTAGGTAGTAGCCCAAAGAAATCTTCAGGTCCTGGATTTGCCGGCGCCCCTAACATGTCTTCAATTTCAGACTTCAGTCGTTCGCTATCGTTTGTCACACAGAGGCGAAGTGTGACATTCAGCTGCTCAATTCTGGTCGACAAAACTGGAACATTGATCCACGTCGCTGCCAATATCCCATTGTCGGTCATTACAAGATCGAGGTCTTACACAATGCTTCGCATTCGTTGTAGCATCTCCGTTGTCTCCGTTCTCAGCTGTTGATTGACTAGCAGTAATCTCGTCGAATTCGAGACGATTGCCTGGGGCTGATACGATGGACCCGGTCGTACGAACGGCGTCGGAAACTCATAAGTCGTGTATCCTTCAAGAATCTCTTCGGTTGTCTGATTAAGCACTCGTGGCTGCCGGGCTGGCGAAAGTATGACGTATTCGCATATCTGATCACGCAGTTCACGCGGAAGGCCCATGAACGATGGCATTATGCTTTCGCGTCGGCTTTGAGGACCACAGCTGGATATTGGATAGCGAAGGTTGAGAGTTTGTGGTGGGCTCGTCATACCCAAGCGCACGGCTCTTGCCTAAAGGTCGATGACGCGGGGCGGCTGCCCTGGAATGAAAAGTGGGGCAGTGCATCACCACCTGGGCATCCCTTTTCCGATCGCCTGTCAGGAGGGAGCATCACCTTCAACAAAGAACAGTACACGCTTCTCAATCAAATTGAACTCTGTTCTTGCTTTGCGCTAACCATGCACCAGTCTCACCGACGCAGCTCTCTATTGACCCGGAGGAGGCGAAGACCCGCCCAATCCGTGACTTTTACAGTGTGATAGCAATACGCCGCCAACATCAGAAGCGCTACAAAGGAAAAGTCTTGTCAAAACTTCTTCTCATCCGACCCCTTCTGCTTCATCGCGTCCGCAATCTTTCCAGCAATGGCATATACACTGGCGCTAAGATGGCCCGAGATCTGAGTCGGGAACACACTCGCATCCACAACCCGGACGTTTTGCGTCCCGTAAACCTTGCCCTCCGTATCTACCACACCGCCCAGCTCCCTACTCATCATTGCGCAAGTACTCACGGGATGCGAGTTGCCGTTCATGGCGCCTGTGATCCAGTCGTCCCAGACTTGATCCCTCCAATGAGCACCTTGCGGTACCGCTTCGTAACCGGGAGAGACCTCGCCTGTAGCGTCCTCCGCGAGCGGCGAAGTGGCGAAATACTCGCGGATACGGATTGCAGCAGCTGCTTGGACATACATGTCGATGGGCATCTGGAAGAAGTTTGGGTCGATACGTGGTGGTATGGTTGCATCGGCGGATTCGATGTGTATTGAGCCTCGAGAAAGCGGTATTAGATCCCAGAGCTGCGCAATGATCTGTTTTCCTGTTGGGGCCCAGAGGATCTCTATTAAAGGAACATCGCTCTCAGCAGTGAAGACTAGGTCTACTTGATGTTGCAGAAGCCGTTCTTGCGTCTCGACGGAGATGGTATCGGGCGCGTAGTCTGCGACAATCGCTGCAGCATAAGCGCTCACATTGGCTTGGAGCTCTTCCACAAGAGCGGGAAGTTCTTCACCAAAGAGATCAGAAGCTGTCAAGAATGTAACGAAGGTAGGATAGCCCGTCCAATTCGTGGACGAGTTGAAGACCATCCCATGCTGCGGTTGATCTGGCAGGTTGGAGCCGACCGAGTGGAGTGGGTTGACAGTCTTGATACCGAGAGGTTCAAGTATGGCGGGATTACCTACACCTGAGTGCTCAAGGAATGCCGGTGATCGAATGGCGCCGGCTGCGACAATGACCTCCTTGTTGGCACCGATAGTTTTCGTTACATTTCCCGCATCGATCACCTCAACTCCCGAGGCCACCACTTCTGACGTCTCGGATGATTCGTCGTTCCAGGTGATGCGTGCAGCAGTAGTATTGAAGAAGACCTGGAGGTTCGGGCGTGACGCAACAGGGAAGTAGAAGGACCTTGCTCCATCTGCCCTCGTAGGCCCACTCACATTCTGTGTCATAGGCCACACGTCGAAACCGCGCATACTACCGTTGTTCGGTTCCTTATTGTAAGGAATACCCATCGCCTGGGAGGTCTCCGCGAACAATTTGGCGAAGCCTTGACGGACCAAGTATGGGGTGAAGCCAACAGCAAGCTCTCCCTCCGTTCCATGTACCCCGTCCCTGAAGGTCGCGCCCTCCTTCGAAAGCTCCTCGCTCGGCTCTGTAAACCCTTCTTGCATTAGGTAGTATTCGAGCAGGCTCTTCCAGTTCCAACCCTCGTTCCCAAGCCCTTCCCACCCATCAATTTGCTCTTTCTCCGCGCGGATGTACGTCATTCCATTGACCGTAGTACTGCCTCCCAAAGCCTTGCCTGCCCAGTAGTTCACGCTCCGGTTCCCAGCATACTTCTGAGGTGCCGTCATGTACTTCCAGTCAATCGATGTGCCGATGAAGAGGCCGTACTCCAAGATAGACCTCGGTACATATGAGACATTGGGGTTATCGTAGCCAGAATCTCCGGCTTCGATGATGGCAACAGTGACTTCGGGATCGGCAGACAGTCGGTTCGCGACTAGAAGACCTGCGGGGCCTCCTCCAACTATAACATAGTCATATGTCTCTGGTGCGCATGTAACACGGACGACCTGGGTCAGGACGGTGAGAAGAAGAGACCACGACATGATGGGTCATGGGGATCAAGGTGCGGGATTCCTCTTGGACGCGCCGAGCCTGGCATCTCGGTCTATATACCGGACGTGTGTGTGGAGACCCCAACAAAGTAGGCCTCCCAAAATCCCCGCAACGACCGTCCACCTAGTGGACTTGCTGGGGTTGAATTATGTCATTGGCTCGTTACGTCACTGCCAAGCATGGACCTGCGTGCCTAAGCATGTACCTTCCCGTCATAGAACTTCGATTTCAAGCGTGGTTTTGACAACGATCACGATGGGTTAGGTATATACTACAACATGTTGGAGCTTCCCGTCAACGCGCATGGATACGTGACGCTGTCCCAACCATACATCGACTAAATAGCGCTCTTCCAATGCGACTACAATGCGACATTCCATGGTACCTATGGATCCTACGATATGAGCTTTCTAAGTATCGTCTTGGACAGTCGGCCTAGATGCAGATCTCTTACCTCACTCCGCATGTTCGAGACAAAACTCCCTCAAAGGCTCGACAAAGATGATTTATAAATCAGGAATATGAAGTCCGTTGGTGAGTGATCCATCACGCTTCTTGCGCATCGTGAATTTCATCTTTTCAGGATCGCCAGCCATGTCGAGCGTGAAAGGTTGCTCGATCTCAAGAAGCTTACGACACCAGCCAGAGTAGACAGTA